CATTTTCTGCTTCTTAATGATCCCAAAAATAGCAGCTCAGGTACGGAAAAAAAAAACCCCTTTCACCAACCACAGACAGTTAAAAAAAAAATTAGTCTTATATCCTGCCTTCTTAACGTACATGTGTTGTTATGAATGACTGAAATCAGTCTCTTTTCCCAGCACTGTGATCACTAGTACAGGCCCTGGCACTGGCAGCTCTGCTTGTGGTGTTGATTTAAATTCCTTCCAAAAATCACACCAGTAGTACCTGTGTCACTTAGAAGATGCCGAGTTAAAGGCAATGCGGGTCTACTTTCAGACGGGTTGGTCTGGTTCTGGTGACACATTGCTACTGTGAAGTCGTCTGCTATGAAAGGACTTTAACAAGTCATAGTAAGATGCTGCTTTGTATATAAAATCTCCGCTGATGCAGCCTCCCGTGAAGTGGGTTTTGTATATTTTATACTTAAAAGCGATGTGGTGGTTTAATGCCTGTAAAATTATAGTCGGTTCAGTGTTGCTATCAAGGGGAATAAAATTCTAATCAAAAGGGAGCTTTTAGAAAGGATTCAGAAATATAATGCTCCTGAGCTGGTTTGTAATGTGTTAGCACAGTTTGACACGTGCTGCTGGTTAACCGTGCGCTTGCAATTACTGCCCACCCCCGTCTTCCATCCCGGAAAATGACGGAACGATTTCTCGCAGGGGGGTGCTTTGCTCGGCTGTTCAATAAAGGCAGCGCATCCGTTTGTGCTCAACAAAGGAGAAAGGCAGGGCTGGTGGCAACACTGCGGCGGGGGGCAAAGTGAGTGCCCGGATTGACAGCCGGGGGGTCTGGGTGAGATGCCCCCGCGTTCTTCTGCTTCCCTCTGCCGGAGTGGGCAGGACTCCTGCCCGGCTCCCCGCCAGCCTCTGGGCAAACCCCAACGCTGCAGCAGGGCCAGAGCCCGCGCTCTGGGCAGGTCACTTCTGCAGCATCTGTGGTTTTAGGGGTTTCTGCTCCGGTCTCGGTCTCTGTCAGCGCAGATGTGCGTGTGGCACGGATCTGGTCGGTGCCTGGCTCTGTGTAAGCATGTCCCAGCTTTGGGACTAACGAATAGTGTTTTGATGTTTGAGAGCTTTGTGGGGTGTCGATGCCCAGTTGCTGTTCATCTTCATAGGGATGCTGCACCCGTCGATGTCCTTACAGGCGCGTTGCAGAGCACTGGCTCGATTTCTGCCGATTTCAAGGGGTTTCAAAGACAAATGTTTACATGTCTGTGACATCGATTGCCCAGAGTTTCCTTTTCCCGTTTAATTTTACTATATTGGCTTTAGTTGTACTTATAAAAATGGGGGTTGTCTTAATAATAGCAGAGAATTCACTTTTTAGCATGAAAATAACGTGAATTTTAATAGAGCACATCTTTCATCACTGCTTAACAAGTGCTTTCCCATTGCCACTCTCCCCCTTCATAATTTGGATGGATTTTGGAAACAGAAGTGGGTTTCCCCTTTAGAGTTTCACAATTAATCTATGCCAAGTGTAGTGCAAAGTTCAATTCTCCTGCAAATAGCAGCCATTATTTGGCAGTTCATCTGTCATATCCTGGCTTGGCTCCCTGTGTTTACTGTGAAATATGACTGCCAGCTATGCTTCGGGAATTATTAAAAGTTTACATTGATTAAAAGGGGATATTTGAAGACAGTTTACAGGAGCTTACCTCTACTCAGTAGTTTGCTTCTAGCTGAAAAATACTACAGGTGATGTTATGTCCTCAGTAATGCATCTAAGTCACTTAATGTATATTTAACATTGGTAACTATTAAACTGTATTAACCGTTAATAAGTTGATTGCTGTTAATAATATAAGTAATTAGTAGTGGCAGTGTAGTAATTATTACTAATGTAGTTGCTTATAATAAAAGTGTAAACTATAGGGTAGCTCTAAGTGGATGAGAAGCCCATGTTAATATAGGGAATAAGATAAAAAGGTTTTACCATCTGTGATGGGTGTATAGACTCTCTTGGCTTTCTCTGTATGTTCTCAGACTTGCTTCCAGTATAACAATGTTGTGTATATTGCAACTTACCAAAAATTAAAAAAATGTATAGGGTTGAAATGGAAAATAGGATTAAATACTGATGAGGAATGCGCTCTCTTATTTGTTGTCTTTTAAATATTTTTAGGTTCTTCTACTAAGTTCCATTAAAGTCACTTTAAAAGAGAGATTTCCTACATGCAGAGTTTCCATTTCAGGAGTAGTTTTGGTACTGTTTTCCTTTGTCTTCTTTTTTTATGCTCTGCCTGGAATGAGTGACTTCATGTGTGCATATAGAAAAGGAACTAACAATAGTCAGAACATACGTGCTGCTCTTTGATCGCACTGAATTGTTCATTTAAACATCAGGCAGTAGGCATTTTCACATACCGATAGAAAACTGAGATTCATTATAGAAAGCAAATGATGATTCAAGTTATGTCCCTTGAGTAATGTAGTGCCAACTTCAAAGTTTGATCCAAGTAGATTTGTTTATTCATGGGACCGGTTTTCTTTCCTCGTTCTGCAGGGGTGCTTTGGCTGGTATGCTGTAGTCCCATGCAGTTAGGCCTGTGCTCATGTGCTGCTTTGTAGTGGGTGCGGTGTAGTTGTCCTTACCTGTCACAACATTTTTAAGCCACACACACAGCCCTGCTCAACTTAATTACCATGTATATTCCAGTGATTGGACTAGAATTATTTGGTAATGGTTGTGATATAATTTCAGTATAATATACAGGTTCAGTGTATTTAGTAGATATTCACTATAACAATTTCCTGTCGTTCTTTCCCCTCTGTATCATTACTTTATAGTCATAAATAGCACTTATCTCAGATGTTAAACACAACGTTAACAATCTGTTTATGCAGTGTCCTTCTTAGAGGCTGTGGGTTTTGTCCTTCTCAGCAACAGATGTGCTTACCAAAGTAATGTTTAAGTGTATATATTTACCAGGCAACAAGTCCCCTTGTGTCTTCCAAATAAAGCAATTTAAGGAAGAATCAGCTTTGGAAATGTGTTTTGAATTGTTTGGAAGGCATATAGTCAGCCGATCCATCAGATAACCCTTCAGTAAAGCAATGTTCCCATGACCCCGCACCACACGACCCATTGGCTATATCTTTAATAAATAACGAAGCAGATGTTCTCTGGAACACTGAATGTCATTCCATTTAGGTTAACTGTGTTTACAAAATAAATATGGTTGGTAGCAGTTTGCATTTCATATCTCGGGCTGTATAACACACGGAACTATTGAAAGAGCGTCAATTCGAACTCTTCATGTAAAGTTTTTACTTGTTATCCTGGATGCTATGTAATTTCTGTCTGCGCGGTGAAAGCTACTGGTTATAGATTCATGCTAAAGCTTAGAATAAGTACCAAAACCAATTCACACAAAACATGATAATGAAACAAAAATGGATTCAGAAAGTGTAGTATGGCAAAATATTAAATTTTAAAGGCAAGATTTTGCTTCTGTATAGTCTTATTTTCATTAAAATTACTGCTAGGACTTCCCAAATTTCCTGAGAAAGCTCTTATACTAGAGGAATCTTTTTTTTTTTTTAAGAAAGGGTTGGCAGGTTTTGTGTAACATGCTGTGCTTTGCTTATGATTTTTTGGAAAGCTGTTCTTGTCAGACGCAAGTTGAAAAGTTAGTATATTCCTTATGACAATTTAGTAATCCTTACCTAATACAAAGGTATGAAATGTAAACAGAAGAAAAATGTGTCGAGGTCCGATTTTACAGTTGCATTTTTGTAAAGGATGTTTTAATGGATGAAAGACCTGCAATTTCATAATTTCCGTGCTCTTTCTGTTAGTGTATGAGGCTGCAAAATTCTGAAGGAAAAAAGAAAGAATATTAGGAAGAATGATTATAAACCCCAATGCGTTTTTTAATGAGGAGGAATTTGCTATTCTTCCCAACTTCTGATTAATATTGTGCAGTGATAGTTTTTCCTAAAATACAGAGGTGAACAGTGCTTCCCAAACCCGTGTTAAGCCATGTAGCTGGGACTGGAAGTGGTCATGAAGGATATCAGAGTATACCTGATGTGCACAGACGCGTAGGGCTGTCACGCGGTTCCCTTCGGCAGCGCCGTCTCCAAGTGTTGGGAATGGGCTGGTGTGCGCCAGGCTCTGTGGTTATGTCAGTGCGGAATGAGCCTGGCGTGGGGGAGTGTATTGAAGTTGTGATTTCTTCTTTTAGTATGTTCTGGGTCTTCCAAAGGGGAGTTCTGTCCCGAGAGAAACAGCAAGGGTACTTGGACGTGTCATGCAGTGTTCGGCTTTAAGTGATTTGGGTGTATTCCCTTTCATGGGTTCTAAATTACAAACCATTTCCAAGCTGCTGGTGGCCTTAAGATGTCCTCATTACGAATTTTTCTGTTGGAAAATCGGATGGGAGTATCATCTGATGATATTATGTAAATAATAAATATGTAAAGATAATGTGAAATATTTATTGCATGTGAGGTAGAATTTAGTCACTCTTAGTTACAATAGTATAGTTTCTAAGTTTGCAACGTTTCCAGATTATCCCATCTTTGAGATCCTGATTTTCCAGTCATTTGGCTGTATTCCACATCACCCCGTAACAAACCGTCACTTCCCTGCTCTCCTGCTGAGGTTTGTGCCATCATTTCAGAGTGGTGATGCTAACAGGCTGTGTGACACTGCAGCCACAGGCTGAACGCTGTCGCTGTACTTCAGTGCCCACGTCCGGTCGGCGTTCGGCACTTTCAGTGTCAGTGAATTGCAGGAACAAGGCTGCGCTCCTGCGCAGACCGTGTCTTTCTCACAACACCAAAGCAAAGGAAGAATAGGGACCAAGGCCAATATTCCTGCATCAACGTAGGTACCGCTGTAAGGGTTGTGATGAAGCCACGTGCTGGAATATATCTTTCTGTGGCATAAGTTGCAGAGCTGGAAAGTTTTTGGTGTTTGAAGTATGTTTTATGACTTGAGAATCTCTTTCTGTTTTTTCCTTTAGGATCCCAGAAGCAAGCACAAATTTAAGATCCACACATATGGGAGCCCAACCTTTTGTGACCATTGTGGGTCACTGCTTTATGGGCTTCTACACCAGGGGATGAAATGTGACAGTAAGTGAAGTTTTGCTGTGTTACCAAAAGGGAATTTTAGAAAGTGAGTGGAAACACTGGGTAGCTGCTTCTTATTTCTTTTCTGTGGAAAATACCGTTTCAAATGTCAGCTATTTATAGTAGTTACATTTCAAGTGGCTCTTTCAGTACTATGATAATATACTAATGAAAATCACCTCTGTTGCTGAGAACATGGTGTGTTGAGTTGGATGTGGCTGAACAACATTTGCCATGGCGTTTTTGAGAGAGCCTCTTTTTGGTCAGGTGAATGCAGTGCTGAAAACTGAAATTTCAGTTCAGTTGGTAGCCGAAGTCCAATATTTTCCTTGTATTTCATTTGTCTTGGAAATCTCATGCTAGAAAAGTCTAATAATCAATTTAAACCTAACTCCCTTCCTTGCTAACGCTGGCACGAATGCTCTGTTTTCTTAGTCATATTCCCAGCAAGTCTTTATTCCATTTTCTTTTTTTTTCCTTGCCCTTCTCTAATCATATCTTTAGGTTTCAGAAGTCGATCATCTTATTCTCTGTTTCGTTCACTGTCTACACAATGTAAGATGGAAACTAGCCATGTTATTCAGTTGAAAACATGCAGCTGTAAACTGAAACTCTTGCCAATGCATTGTAATCTTAACTTTCACGTTGCTCAGTGTTTGCAGCGTAATCATGTTATTAGCTTCCCATCACAGTCTGAACCATTTTTATATCCACAGCCTGTGATATGAACGTTCATAAGCAATGTGTAATAAACGTCCCCAGCCTCTGTGGCATGGATCACACAGAGAAGAGAGGAAGGATTTATCTGAAAGCTGAAGTCACTGGTGACAAACTGGAAGTAACAGGTAAACAGCTTGTTTTGGAATTTGGCAGGTTTTATGAATGTGTAATATGCACTGTGAGTGTGTGTACCTTGGTCAGGTCTTTGTGTACCACAGCCAGTAACAGAGTATTTCCCTTCAGAAGTGTGAGGGTTGCATTCCACATGTCCATCTATCTAGAAACTATGAATTGGTGCTCATAAAAATAAATAGAAAAAAAAAGAAAGCTCTAGTAATACCTTTAAAAACTCAGGAATATTTATTAGAAAATGACTGTAATGTCTATTTTTCACATGGAAAGCAGCCCGGTAGCATGGCTAGCTGTTCAGGAAGTTAGCCATCATCTTCAGAACACAAGAAATACTGTAAACTTTCATCAGCCGAGGACTTGTTTCCTGCGTTTCAGAGTATTCCATAAACAGAGACAACTTGGATTCAGTCCCAAATATCACTCCCAATCAGTTATAAAATAAAAAAACCAAATGATCCCATCCTGTAAGGTTAAGGTTACCAAGAATGGGGAGGAGGCAGAGGGAGGAAGGAAAGAGAGGGTGGCAGTACTTTCCTTGGAAGTGTTTCTCCCAGGATTTATGGGAGAAAGCTTTGGTTGGGCACACACACCCCACCCCGCCCCCAACCATTCCAAGTCTGAAGTTGCAGAAAAAATTCTGGAAAATGTATTTTGCAAGTTGAAGGACTGTTTTGTCCCCCTAAACAGACATGTAATAGCTCGTTTAACAGGACTTCCTTGTGCTGTATCAGAGCGGAGTTTATCGCTCAGGATCTGCATAGGAATTTGTGTTTACAGCGTGTTACATTTGTTCTGAATGTGCTTTGTGTTGTAGCTGGGATCAGCTGATAATTAGTGTGTCTGATATCTGGAGTGTAAAGTTAGTGGTGAACGTTATTGTTGATTTTTCCTTTCTGTTGGATACAAATATGCAAAAATTGTTCTTTCCTGATCAGATGGCAGTTATTCCATCAAAGGGAGAGCACAGGGCAGGAGTTAGGATGGACGGAAGTGAAGGGAAGGAATAACAGAAAATTTTATTCATGTTTTTTTTATAGGTAGAGGCAAGTCTGTAAAACTAATTAAATTCTCAAAGTCCCATTTTTTTATGGCTCAAAGCTTTAATGAAATTTCACATACGTGCTGCAGTAACTAGAACCAAAATAAGTATGATATAACATAGGAGATGGAGTAGAAGACAAATTATCAAACACCAGTTATCAAAAGCTTAATGGCTCAGGAGAGGGTGTTGGTTAGTGTATCGTCAGACGACCAACATTGCTTCTTCAGTGAAGAAGACTTAAAGGGAACAGATCTTCATACATCACATAGATGCCCACTGCCACATCTTTACGTTTGCTACTGAGAGAAGGTGAATTCAGTGCCCACACTGTGAAAGAAGAAGAGGGTACAGTGCTGTTATCGGTGCCTGTTTGCTGTTGCAAGAAGGAGTTAAATTTGAGAGCACAGGTACAGCAGGAGAAAGTAGGAGGCTTCTGAGATCACCTCCTGCCTTTGTTTCGTGGTGTAGGTGTTGGCAACCTGGGGATGTTGAGTATTGTGTATTGCTTCAGCGCTGCTCGGTTGAAAGGCTAGAGCCTATCAACGCCAAACGACGTTCCTTCTAACTCTGCACTTCTCTGGGGAATGAGTCTCATGCCAAAGGATGTTCCTTCTAACTGCACTTCTCTGGGGAATGAGTCTCAACAGAGACCATGCCCCTTGTAGCCAACATAAGGGAAACCAGGCCATCACGCTGAATTTTCACAGCTGTAGAACCGGCAGACTCCCCCGGCATTGTGTGCGTTCATGGCTTTGTTCTCTCCAGGTCTGAACCCCTCCCTCTTCTCCCGTCAGACCTTGTAAAATGCATTGAAAAGGAGAAGTATGATAAACTTCAGTTAAAAAGGATCAGAACGGATCCCAAGTGATACTTAATTGTAGCTTAACTTTTCAAATAGCTTCCTGTTGATGTAGGAGGGGTAAATGTGTCCAAGGTACTGTCACTAACAGAAAGATGGTTTCACTAAGTGGTGAGGCATTTGAGAGATGGTGATGCAGGTTCTAAAAGTAATTGTACCATGAGAGAGAACTAATTTGATCATCCTTTGAGCTTATTTTAATCATCCATGTGACAAAATTTAATATTTCCGTTATTCTAGGCCACTTCGCAGCAAGATTCTTAAATATGGCTTAAACTTTCTGCCATAATGCACATAATTTGACAGATAACGTGTACTTATTTTCTGATGATTCAGCGGGTTCATAATCCTTTTAGGGACAAAAACATTTGTCACAAGTCGTCGTGACACTGAGCCACTATACAGACCAAGCCCAGACCTGGTGAAGTTTCAGGTACCTTTTGTGCAGGTTTAACAGGAACGGAAATCAGCAGTTGTCAGTTTAGTTCCTGGACACATTGCTGTGCAAGAGTCTTGAACTCCTTTTCTCCCAGTACGACACTGCTTCTGAAGTATTTACTGACAGACCCTTTGTTAGAATATACAGATCCCAGAGCTGCCGAGCACAATACCACTGCCTTTAGCTTCGGGAAAGGAGGTGAATTAAATGTCCAGGAGGTTTAGGAACAGCAGGAAAAATAGTCAATGATTGGCTCTTTGGTTTGAGCCTTTGCCTGAATCTTTTTCAGAGCAATTACTCTGTAGGTGTTGAACTCCTTGAGCTGAATTCCTTAATGTCTGTGCTCTGCATCCTGTTTTGGTTGCTAATTAGCTCCTGCTGATTTTTCCCATAGCCAGCCTTGATTGCATGCAAAACATTTGTGCTGCTAAATGCAGACATGCCACTCTGGTTGACAGCTTGCAAATACCTTGGATGGGCCGCACACCCATCCGGGTTCCAACCGGGAAGGCGGATGGACGATGCAGCATGCGCCGTGCCGACTGCAAGATACGCTCCTTCAGGGGACGCTCTTGGAATTTGTCTTTACTTCTGCATAACCGCTTCGAGGGTTTTGTGGTGGCTTTGGTTCCAAAAAAGGCCACAGTACGTCCTTTCTTACTAGGCGTTTTCCCGATAAAATATGGTGAGCAGTACTGGGTTTTTTTCCCGGTGAATACTAGGAAGGAGGCAAGGCAGAGCACTGCCAGGTGGAGTTGGCCAGGGGTCAGTCAGTTTATATAAAATATCAAAGTACTTCACGTTTTGAATTGAACTAATGGTGGGGGAATGATTCAGTCCTATAGGTAAACAAGCTTCACTCTGATTTTTCGAGGCCAGACCTTCAGTCTGGGTGCTGCAAGGTAGACATACGGTCTTTTCTGTGGGAATGCCAGAGACTCTGCAACACGTTTTCACACATAAGTAGGAATTCAGTGTTGTTATACTTTGCCCAAACCTTGACATCTTCTCAGTGATGGTCAGTACGCCACATTCAGTGCTCAATTTGTGTTGCAATTCTTAAATATCAGTGGTTTACGTTATAGCTACTAGCTTGAGAGTTGCACTGCATATTAATAATTTATTGCACTTATAGTAAATCAACCTGGAAGTTTCCTTTTTACAGGACCCATCTTCCTGAAATTGCTGAATTCAGGACCCTTCCATAGGTTAGACTGGCTTAGGGCTCATGCTTTTAGGCTTTAGTAAAGCAGTTTTTGCTACTGTTAATTTATGCTTTTGCACTGAATTTTCTTCCTCCTGATGCGTGTTAAAAGTTTTGTCACTCTCACATTTACTTGTTGACCCATGTTATAGTTTGGGGCTGTTCTGAGTGAGTTTGTAGGTGGTTGAATCACGGTTTGGATTTTATTTTATTTTTGAATTATTTTCATAGTGAGTAAACAATAACCTTTGTGAGAAAATAACCCCATCTGGTGCACTGACATATAAAAAGCTGCCACATTACTGGGATCCTAAACTGTGACCTGTCAGTTGCTGGGAGTTGGATGTGACAGGAGCTGACAGTGACAAACTGCCCTCCCAACACAGGCACCAATTTAGAGGCCGGGTGTTAGTGACTCGCTGTCAGCTAATGCACCCTACCGTTATGTAAACGTTATTAAATATATATATATATTTATACACACACGCAGCCCAAGGCTTTCAGGGTTTTTAAGAGTATTTTTCTTAGCTGAAAGAATACAGAAAATCTGCTTTTATCCTTCAGTGGTGCTGCTGCCATTTAAAAGAAGAGGACACCTGGCAGTGATCTCTGCAGAGGTTGGGAGCACATAACAGACTCTCCAACAATAACCTCCCTAGGAGTTCTGTACTCCCCACCGTACATTTTTCAAACTATTTATGAACTGAGCCACCCCATGGCGCTGCATATTAATGCCTTGTCACACTGCTTGCTGTAGACAGCTGGGTTAAGAGCCTCGGCCAAACATGCCCGAGAGAGGAACTGGAGAATTTTGGCACATTTCTAGATTCTCTTAAAAATGACTGCCTTAAAGGACACCCGCTACACACACGCTCTAATAATTTTATTTGTAATTGCCTAGGTGGGTATTAGTGTCTGTCTTTGTTAGCATTAATTTCGTGATATTTTGCAAGTGATTTTACAAGGGAACATAGATGAATTTTCTGTCTATTTGGCCAGCTTTTAGTACCAAGTACCTATAAAGTGATCCCAAATAACTACTTGCTTGTGGGAGGCATTCTTAATGTCTCAAAGAACGTGAATAGAATGTTTTATCACACTAATATCTTCTCTCTTCCCTGGCATTCCCAGAATCTGCAGGGTTGCTGCCTTTAACAAATGCCAACCCCAGTAGCAACTGACGCTCACCATTTCATTCATTAAATGAACTTTACCAGGAAGAAGTAGGCAATGCACAGTATTGAAAAGAAAGATGAGTTTTGCATAAAAGGCCATCTGCATGCGTATAAAAAAATTAACTAAAATGCTATCTATTTATGTAAGAATATAAACAGGTAAGAATTAGAAATTTAATAGTCTGAAACCCTTTTCAGATTATTTGATACATCTTGTGTTAAGACCTATGGTTTTTAAGTAGCTGTCCTGCACAGGTATTCTTTTTATGATGAT